CATTAGGAGCTAAGCATCCGACATCGCCGATCATATATATGCTTCTCATTTCGTCGCATGTCATGGCATTTCACTTCATTTCGTGTTATTGATTATATTTCAACACAAGGTGGATTTGGTGTTGATGAGAGCGTCAACAACGATGGCTGATGATCCACGGCAAGGTCCCACTTGGCTGAATCCTCCGTTTCCGGCCGTAGATTACCAAGATCCATGGCCAGAAATGAAGAATCCATCAAAGGAGAGCTGACCCCCCAATAGACAATAATCAATCGTAAGCCAACGATCGCGTACGTGATTTTTTTTTTCATGCGCTCGTTCTGACGCTGTCATCGTATTGCGTTTTCACTGCAGATATCTTCCGATGCATCGGGCATTTGTGGGCTTTGGCATTTGCGGACTGGGGTCTCCGTCCGTTGTAGTGGGGGTAATGGTGATTAGATATGGTAATGTATAATGGATAATGGATATGGATTCGATAAATAGGTAAAGGATAGTGGATAATTATAGATGGATAACGGGTAACGGTAATGGATAATTGTTGATGGATAATGGATTAGATATCTATAATGTATGTATGCAGGAGAAGAGAAGAGGGGGCGGAGAGTCTGACGACGAGTGGGAGGATGAGCCGCAAGAGGGAAAGAAGGGCCTTAGCACAGGGGATGTAGTAGAGTTGTCTTCTTACAATAAATACCGTCATTTGAGCACGAGCACGAGCACTCGACGCAACCGACAGCAGTACTGCCTCTGCGTGGGGCGCCCTGTCGCTGTGTTTTCGCTAAGCACAGACGAGACCATTTTCACAGGCAGGCTGCTCCTGCGAACATAGCGCTCGACCCGGACCAGGAAATGCTACACCTCGGCCTGGGCGTCAGATTCCACGAGGGTACCGGGCCCCTACCGGTAGAACCATAGACTGCCTGAGCCCATTTGCAGCCCTGAAGGCTGCGGTATAGCAGGGTGCCGCATCTGTACCCAAGCCTGGTGTTTTCTTTTTGGGACAAACCGGGCTATGTGGGGTCTGCAGAGGTTGTCATAGTCAATGTCCCCCCAAAAAAAGGAAAAAAGGTTGTCAATGCCTGGGGACCAGTCAGGACCACTAGCACTGGAGGGTTGTTTAAAAAAAAAAAAAAAAAAAAAAAAAGCCTGGGGACCAGTCATAGGACCGAGAAAAGGGTCTGTGCACGGGTTTGGGCTTGGCTTGATGGAAAGTGAGTGAGTGCACCCTCACACTGGCCACCAAAATCCCAAATCCCTCAAAAAATAGTGTGGAGGGGTAGTCACACCCATTGCCCGTTTCCCCAAAAACCGTATTCGTTGCCCCATTTGTCAGCGCCCTCCCGAGCTGCGAGTTTGGGAAACTGTGGTAACGTCAGGAGGTTATCCTTGTTTTTGTTTTTGTTTTTAGAGAAGGGTTCCCTTTATTATTGTCTACCGCGTGGGGACGGGGAACGCAGCCCTAAGGGGGGGGGACTACTAGAGC